GTATGAAGATATTATCCACACATAGAGATCGACATTGTAACTATGACATGGTATATATGAAGGTATTATCTACACATAGAGATCGACATGGTAACTATATCATGGTATATATGCAGGTATTATCCACACATAGAGATCGACATGGTTACTGTATCATGGTATATATGCAAGTATTATCCACACATAGAGATCGACATGGTAACTATATCATGGTATATGCAAGTATTATCCACACATAGAGATCGACATGGTAACTATATCATGGTATATATGCAGGTATTATCCACACATAGAGATCGACATGGTTACTATGGTATGTATGCAGGTATTATCCACACATAGAGATCGACATGGTAACTATATCATGGTGTTTATGCAGGTATTATCCACACATAGAGATCGACATGGTAACTATATCATGGTATATATACAGGTATTATCCACACATAGAGATCGACATGGTAACTATAGCATAGTGTTTATGCAGGTATTATCCACACATAGAGATCGACATGGTAACTGTATCATGGTATATATGCAGGTATTATCCACACAATCATAGAGATCGACATGGTAACTGAATCATGGTATATATGCAGCAATGATCCACAAATAGAGATCGACATGGTAACTATATCATGGTATATATACAGGTATTATCCACACATAGAGATCGACATGGAAACTATATCATGGTATATATGAAGGTATTATCCACACATAGAGATCGACATGGTAACTGTGACATGGTGTGTATGCAGGTATAATCCATACATAGAGATCGACATGGTAACTATGACATGGTGTGTATGAAGATATTATCCACACATAGAGATCGACATGGTAACTATGACATGGTGTGTATGCAGGTATAATCCATACATAGAGATCGACATGGTAACTATGACATGGTGTGTATGAAGATATTATCCACACATAGAGATCGACATTGTAACTATGACATGGTGTGTATGCAGGTATAATCCATACATAGAGATCGACATGGTAACTATGACATGGTGTGTATGAAGATATTATCCACACATAGAGATCGACATTGTAACTATGACATGGTATATATGAAGGTATTATCTACACATAGAGATCGACATGGTAACTATATCATGGTATATATGCAGGTATTATCCACACATAGAGATCGACATGGTTACTGTATCATGGTATATATGCAAGTATTATCCACACATAGAGATCGACATGGTAACTATATCATGGTATATGCAAGTATTATCCACACATAGAGATCGACATGGTAACTATATCATGGTATATATGCAGGTATTATCCACACATAGAGATCGACATGGTTACTATGGTATGTATGCAGGTATTATCCACACATAGAGATCGACATGGTAACTATATCATGGTATATATACAGGTATTATCCACACATAGAGATCGACATGGTAACTATATCATGGTATATATGCAGATATTATCCACACATAGAGATCGACATGGTAACTATATCATGGTGTTTATGCAGGTATTATCCACACATAGAGATCGACATGGTAACTATATCATGGTATATATACAGGTATTATCCACACATAGAGATCGACATGGTAACTATATCATGGTGTTTATGCAGGTATTATCCACATATAAAGATCGACATGGTAACTGTATCATGGTATATATGCAGGTATTATCCACACAATCATAGAGATCGACATGGTAACTGAATCATGGTATATATGCAGGTATTATCCACACATAGAGATCAACATGGTAACTATATCATGGTATATATGCAGGTCTTATCCAAACATGGAGATCGACATGGTAACTATATCATGGTATATATGCAGGTATTATCCACACATAGAAATCGACATGGTAACTGTATCATGGTATATATGAAGGTATTATCCACACATAGAGATCGACATGGTAATTATGACATGGTGTGTATGAAGATATTATCCACACATAGAGATCGACATGGTAACTATGACATGGTGTGTATGCAGGTATAATCCATACATAGAGATCGACATGGTAACTATGACATGGTGTGTATGAAGATATTATCCACACATAGAGATCGACATGGTAACTATGACATAGTATATATGAAGGTATTATCCACACATAGAGATCGACATGGTAACTATATCATGGTATATATGCAAGTATTATCCACACATAGAGATCGACATGGTAACTATATCATGGTATACATGTAGGTATTATCCACACATAGAGATCGGCATGGTAACTGTATCATGGTATATATGAAGGTATTATCAACACATAGAGATCGACATGGTAACTATGACATGGTGTGTATGCAGGTATTATCCACACATGGAGATCGACATGGTAACTATATCATGGTATATATGAAGGTATTATCAACACATAGAGATCGACATGGTAACTATATCATGGTATATATGCAGGTATTATCCATACATAGAGATCGACATGGTAACTATATCATGGTATATATACAAGTATTATCCACACATAGAGATCGACATGGTAACTATATCATGGTATAAATGCAGGTATTATCCACACATAGAGATCGACATGGTAACTATATCATGGTATAAATGCAGGTATTATCCACACATAGAGATCGACATGGTAACTATATCATGGTATAAATGCAGGTATTATCCACACATAGAGATCGACATGGTAACTATATCATGGTATATATGAAGGTATTATCCACACATAGAGATCGACATGGTAACTATATCATGGTATATATGCAGGTATTATCAACTCATAGAGATCGACATGGTAACTATATCATGGTATATATGCAGGTATTATCCACACTTGCAGATGGATAATGTTAAAATGACACGGTATATATGAAGATGTGATGGACACCTGACTATGAATGTTGTAACTATGACATGTATATGAAGGCACTATCCACAAATGAAGATTAACATGGATATGGTGTATATGAAGATATTATCCGCACATAATGTCAATAATTATATTTTTATTTACCGTCTAGACATACATATGGGCCGAGAAATATGTAAATTATATTCACACAGATGTGAAGCGAATAATTCCATGACAGGAATAAATCTAATACCTGTGGACGTGGCGTAGTGCACACGAACACCATCAGGGCGTGAGATAAATGCTTGGTTTTTTTTAGACATACACAATCAACCGTGACACAAACATATTTGCAATGTTTAAGTCACCAACTTGACACATTTAAAACACAATAAGTGTTGATGTAAAGTTAACTAAAATACTGCACGTTTAAGCTCTACTGCCCTTCTTATTCTTCATTTTGTGATCCTCATTATATCTGGAACCTAACAGTGAGCTTAATAAACGTTCGGGGTTTTCATTTGTTTTTTAATAACTGAATGGAATTTATTGTAGTGTACTATTAGTATTAAATGCATTAAATGAAATAAAGAATAACGAAATATTGTGAGATATTTGGTACTCGTTCAGCAGCACTTTATAATGTGAGATAACAGTAATGGAAAAGTAAATGTTTTGTTAAAAATCATTTCAATTTGTATAGATAGGTTAAGATGCAATGATGCCAATGCAGCTCGGAAAATATAATACCTTCGCAAATATTGGACTTGTTTGTATAATGTAAACATATTTTTTTTGTGAAGAATATTCAAAAGGAGAATTTACTTGAATTTAGGACTACTGGAATGTGTCGGCACAGATTTGTCACTTTACCCCACCAGTACAGTTTCTGCTCGAGACTACACGGGTATCGTTGGCGAAACTTTATCACTGTTTCACCTTTGATAGATATACCCTACTGAAAAAAATAGTTTGTTTTCGCTATTTTCGGAAAGTGGATAAGATGTTCGCATCTCGCTGCTCAATGACGCTATGCGCGAGAGACTTTCCCAAAGTTCGCGAAGGGAGCTAAAAATAGATCAAGGCCCGTCTGGCCCTACATGAGCATAATCTATTCGCCCGCTACCGGTATCGGAAAGGGAGGCTGAGAGCATTGCAATACAGGTAAAGCAAAATTGTTTTTCATTCCGATTTATTTAATTGTGAATTAACACAATTGTAAATAAACTACTCAAAAATAAATACATTTTTTTCTACTCACATTCCGCTTGTAACAGGATCGCAACATGGCGGTTTAAAATCGGTCACAAATATATGTATGTCAGTCCCGTACTTTCGCAAGGCTAAATTCATATAGAACGTTCTTAAACCACTGTCCTTATTGGAAAGCATAGTAGATCATACAGTTTTTCTATGCACAAATTCATAATTTTATTTAGTTTTTGATTATTTTTTATCGGTGATCATAAAAGTCAATAAAACTTCACGAGTGCGATTTAAAGATAGAAGTAGCCCCATGTACGAAGGCAACTGCAGTTTGAAATGTAATTGAAAACAATATTTATTTTATTGCTTTAATTCTATATTGAAAATCACATTGCCGCATGTCGCTTGTACTCAAGAGATAGTCCTGTTTTTATTGAATGGGGTTTGAATTCATAACTCATTACATACCTAACCAACGATGTTTAGCTTTCCATACTTGGTCCGCACTATATAGTTTCATGTGTATTTTCGCATTTTCTTTAAAATAATATTTGTCTGTGTTAGGTTTAATCACAAATCTTGGTAGGAAAATAATTAAATTTAAGTATTTAGTTGCCCACAGTTATGCCTGTCTGAGTCTACGCAAAAACAATCCATCATGTATATTTTGACATTTAAAATCGCCTGTCTCCAATTTTCGACTTCAGATGATTTATTTCAGTTATACACAGCAGTTTCATAAAAAAACCTGAAAGATAGGTATTAATGTGTGGCTCGTAAAATTATTGTTCGCATATTTTACTTCGATCCCAGAACTTGATGTATACAAAGATATGTTAAACTTCTGGTTTTGTACACTCGCGATGATGGTAAGGCATCGTTTCTGTTGCAAGCAATATCATATATCTTGTAATATACCTTGTGATATACCCGTGCATCGTATGTGTACTTACCGCGTCATGTTTGAACGGAAATATATATGTTTCATAAATACAAAAATAATGCTGAAGATACAGTGTATTTAAAAGTTAAATAAACTGTAAAAAGGTAAAATATCATATAACTTTTACTTTTCCTTGTACAATACCTGTGCATTGTATGTGTATTTACCACGTCGTGTTTTTAACAGAAATATATATTTCATAAATATGTAAATAACGAGATGAAGATTACAGTGTATATAAAAACAGAATAAACTGTGAAAAGGTAAAATAAACCTTAAATATATAAATCTGTATAGTTTCCAACAAAACATTTTTCTTGCAGTATGCTTCTTTGACATATAGAGAAAGCAAGATACTCTTTACATCATGTGCATTATTCATTTCTCAGCCGAGACACGCGACTCACTTCACTGGAGTAGACGTATTCGTGACCCGTGTTTTATCTTGTGTAGAATTACACACATACATGATGTACTTAGCTGTAGGAAATGTGCCACTCTTCAACAGGAATTTCACTCGTTAGGACTGAACTGGCAAACTACTATTATTTCTATTGTTCTATTTTATTGAAACGCAATTATATGCAAACGTTTACAGTGTCAACATTTTGCTTTTTATTTGTGATGCCCGCCGTTTAGACAAAACAGACACTGTAGTTAGAGAAAATAGAGTCATGTTTGAACATTTGTGTTTAGAAATCATTGTTCAAAGTGCATAAACTTGGATCGTCCGAGTTCAAAAACAAACCAAAACATTTAAAGGGGAAGACAGGAAAGATATATCTATGAACAATTTTAACATAAAATACCAACATATGTCTGTACTTTGAGTTCTTTATAAAATGAACTGTTATGTAATGAATTTGAATATGCATAGCGAAACATTCTTTTTATTATTATCTTTAAATACATACTACCAGAAAGAATCATATCGTTGCTGTTGTCGTTGTTGTTAAATATGCTAGTTTTGGGGTTATATTGTTAGCGCTTAGAGCATGCACTTTGTGTATGGAAGAAAGGGCAATATAAGTACACATATTAGTATTATTGTTGTTGTCATTATTATTATTATTATTATTATTATTATTATTATTATTTAACTTGAAATTGTATCGATGCAATGCCGAAAATGGAAAACATATATATTACTCTAAAAACAGAAACCGTTTGTCTCATCCTTTGGCCTTTGTTGATAATATATATTTAAATCAAACCTTGTAATTATGCAGCTTGTGAGTTATGTGGAGATTTACAGATATACATTGATATATATATATTGTGCATCTACTTTTACTTTCCTGAACATTGCGAGACAAATAGTCTAGATAAAGAAATATCCTATTACTTGCCTTAATCGTCCAGACTTATCAATAAAATAATTTATTAACCACATTCCTAGGGTTTCCTCATGTATTTTCTCGGAATTTTACCAGACAAATTTTAAAAACAAAATATTCATCGTGAAAGAAGGTCATCAGAGCTGGACCCTGGGAGCTCACATGTGACCTATGAATATTCATGAGTATCCAGACTACACACGAACGCTGATTGGTCGCTTTAATCCTGTTTGAACCATAAAATATTTTGACATTTGAAGAAGACAAAAATGGACACTACACGATGACTGTCCAATGGCTGAATACAGTGGGGACGGGTTAACGTATATAAATTTAATACGACAAATTTCCCTTGGCTTTCAATCTTTGCTAAATACATTATTAAATCAAAAGATGTCCTCAAAATTCTATAGATAGCGGATCATTAGCACTGACTTTGAACATTTGAATATGTTGAAAAATATAGGTTTATTTTAAAATTTAACCAGCGATTAGACGGATAAGGACATATGTTCAGCTCATTACATCAAATAGTTACGATTCATCGACGACTTCAGATATGCAGTCGTGTCAGACATGAATCTTTGACAAGTAACAGACACAAAACCTTTGTAAATTGTATAGGTGTTTGCACAAGTTGTCCCATGTACCCCTTAATACTACCATGTACGTAAATGTCTTGTAAAGGGCCTAGGATGAGCAGTGGATATGTAGATATGAGTATATTAAGAGTGAAACTTGGTGATGTGAAGTTTAACCTGCAAATAACGAATTCGGAATATATAACTAGTCCTATAAAAGGTAAATAATTCATGATGTTATTACTGCTTCATATCTAAGCCATAAGTAGATATCATACCAACTTTGTTAAACAGTCTTAATATACAGTAAACTACGGTTATAACGAACTCAAACCCGTGATGATCCGGTTTAGATTAGGTCCTCAGCAACCCATGCCTGCCGTGAAAAGGTGACTTTGCTTGACGTAAGAGGCGACTAACGGGATCGAGCGGTCAGGCTCGCTGACTTGGTTGATACATGTCATCGTATCCCAATTGAGTATGTCGATCCCCACTGGATTGTCTGGTCCAGACTCGATTAGTTACAGACCGCCGTCATTTAGCGGGAATGGTGCTGAGTGCGACGTTAAACAAACAACAATATAACAAACTCAAAGGGACCACTAATTTCAGTTCGTAATAGCCGTAGTTACTTATAAGGATGTATACATGACATAAACAGGAAATGGCTGCACCAAAACATATGTTAGTTTTTCCGTCAGTTCGTTATAAGCGTGTTCGTTATTAACGTAGTTTACTGTAACTTATTCCAAATAATGTGATGTTTGCTTAAACAGCATAATATATAAGGTTTGAAGTAAACCTCAATATCTGGTGTCTATATTTCCGTTTTCCCCGTACGCGGTATTTCGCCAACACACGGTGTAATCACTATTTGCAAATGCTTACGATAAAGATGGAATCGTACAATGGACTTTGATTTTAGAGATTTCCCATGATAATAGAAAGTATTTGTTTACAATTTATTTGTTTTTACATTTTACTAAGTGTTTCGTTTTAGTATTTGTTAAAAACATTACAGCCGTTATTAATGTAAAGTTATATCATCAGTTTTTATAGTTTATATAAATTAAAGAAAATCACTGCTTCAGTGTGTGTTATATGCAGTATTTCTGCCATGTTCTCCCGGTTTCCAAACTATGTCAGAGTACCCTCTTGCCACCATGGTTTACGCTGGGTTTTGTTTGTTTTATTTTTCATCTTTGACGATGTCCTTCCTGTAATCTGTTTGTATTCTTGAAAAGCATTGGATGGTCACTGTTTGTGTACTGTTCGTAAATAAGCGATTGTGTCTAAATAGTAGCATACAGAGTAGGTCTTTATGCTCAAACATGGCAATACTAATTCGTGATAGCACCCGTACATAATGTGAATAACCGTATGTCATACGTTAATTGTCTGTTTAATACTCAGTATCGAAGATATATCTTGCAGTGTTCTCCTGAATGCACACACACACACACACACACACGCACGCACGCACGCACGCACGCACACACACACACACACACACACACATTCACACAAACACACACCCAACACATATGCGCTCGCTACACACAGCTACACACAGTTAATACACACACACAGAGTACATTGTCCACTGAATACACACTCGCACACAACAAGGTAAATAAGCAATGTTTTGTGCATCGTCTGTGCGTAGGTGTGACTGTCCCGTTTCATTTTGGAGAAAAAAAACAAAAGTCCCTTCGCCCTAATAAAAGCACCTGCTTTGTCGGGACCAGCATGTGCTCGTGGGTTTCACCAAGGGGGTAAAACTCTATGACGTAATATAGCGGTCATAAATACTGTTCAGAGGGGCGTAAAATTCGACTCACTCGGGCTCTATGGTCCTGGTGGCGATGTTCATGGTCGTGAAGAGCTTATCATACTGAGATACTTAAGTTTATTTGTTTGTTGTTTAACGCCGCAGTCAGCAATATTCTAGCTATATGACGGCGGTCTGTACAGAATCGAGTCTGGACCAGACAATCAAATGACTGACATCATGAGCATCCATCCTACAATGACATGCATCAACCAAGTCAGCGAGCCTGACCACCCCATACCGCTAGTCGCCTCTTACAACGTGCATGGGTTGCTGAAAACCTATTCTAATCCGGGTCTTCACGGGTAGGCACTTAGGTACTTACTTTGGTGCAGACCTTTCATCCTGAGATTATTTTCGTCTTAATTATATTATATGGTAACAAATGCCAAGAACAAATATCTCTATAAGCAATAAATGTTGTCATTTCAAAACAATAAGATATTTCCGTATCCTCATTTTGGGGAATTAGCGGTGGGGTAGCCTAGTGTTTAAAGTGTTCGCTCGTCAGACCAACGGCCTAAGTTCGATGTCGACATGGGTACAATGTGTGAAGCCCATTACACTGTCGGAATGCTGCTAAAAGAGGCGTAAAACAATACTCACGCACTCGTTATGTTTGGTTATTTAATACATCTTCTGACAAAGAAAAACATTCTGAATATTTCTTCAATATGTTCTTGGAAATACACCCATGAATTGTCTTCGGGTTGAAATGATGCTAAACAATGCCATACTCAATACTGTCCTCAGCAATACACATATCTAAGGCCTTGTCAAAAAACACTTCTTTAAAAGAACATTACCAGCGACAATAATGGTCTGCAAACATCACCCTTAACCTACTACCACAGACAATTCTATCAGAAACAAGTGAACAATAATTCCTTTTGACCTGTGTTCAACTTCACGTTAACTTCTTATCCATAATACTCCGTTAAAGTTTACACGAAATTTCACTGAATATTTAAAGGTTATCAATCTCTGTAAGCTCATAAATGTTGGCGTACTGTTGTAACAAAGGTTAATTGTTACAATAATGATTCATTTTATCATGTCGACTGAGAACAAAGACCCTGTCAATTCATTAGTATTTTGAGTTTCGTCTTCTGTACAGTTAAATCCCGATATTTCGGACGGTACAGTTTAAGGTGCAATAGTCCGGATTAACAAATGTCCGGATTAACGAATCATGTTTACAGAATAATATCTTGTTATATATGTTGACGTTCCGTGCAGTTGTGGCTGTATTAACGAGGTTCGAAATAC